ACACAGTAAACAGGGTCGACTGGGCACGGTTGCTCACGCCTGTGATCCCAGCACTCTGGGAGACCAAGGCAGATGGATTGCTTGAGCTCAGGAGTTGGAGACCAGCTTGACCAAGAGCAAGACCCTTTCTCTACTAAAAAAATTTTAAAAACTGAGGCAATACAATCACTTGAGCTCAAGAGCTTGAGGTTGCTGTGAGCTGTGATGCCACTCTACCCAGGGCACCAGAGTCTCAAAAAAAAAAAAAAAAAGACAAATTAAACAGCTGTGGATGAGACTGTAGAGAAACTGGAACCTCTATGCATTGATGGTGAGACTGTAAAATTGTGCAGCCACTGTGGAAAACATTTTGTCTGCTCCTCAAACCTTAAAGACAGAGTTACCATATAACCTTGCAGTTCTACTCCTAGGTATATCCTCTAAAGAAGTTAAATCTGGAAACATATCCACACAGAAACATGAATTTATGAGCAGCATTATTCACAATACCCAAATATCTATCAACTAATAATGGATAAATGTAATAAATCCATACAAAGAATATTATTGCAGTATAAAAAGAAATGAAGTACTGACATATGCTGCAACCAGAACAGAGGAACCAAAAAGACTTAAGCTAAATGAAAGAAGCAAGTCTTGGGTGGCGCCTGTGACTCAGTGGATAGGGCACAGGCCCCATGTACCAAGGGTGGTGGGTTCAAACCCGGCCCCAGCCAAACTGCAACAAAAAAAATTGCTGGGCATTGTGGCAGGTGCCTGTAGTCCCAGTTATTCAGGAGGCTGAGGCAAGAGGATCGCCTAAGCCCAAGAGTTAGCGGTTGCTATGAGCTATGTGATGCCACGGTACTCTGCTGAGGGCGATACAGTGAGACTCAGTCGCTACAAAAGAAAAGAAAAGAAAGAAGCAAGTCTCAAAGCCCACATATTATATGATTCCATTTATAAGACATTGCCAGGACAAGCCCTGTGGTTTAAACCTATATTCCCAGCACTTTCAGAGGCCAAGGTGGGAGGATTGCTTGAAGCCAGGAGTTTGAGACTAGCCTGGGCAACATAGTGAGATCTCATCTCTATAAAAAAATTAAAATTAACCTGGCATGGTAGCACTCACCTGTAGTCCCAGCTATTTGGGAGACTGAGGCAGGAGGATTGCTTGTACCCAGGAGTTTGAGGCTGCTGTGAGCTGTGATGACGCCACTGGGCGTCTGAGAAAAACTGTGTTTCAAAATAAAAGACATTTCCCATTTCCAGAATAGGCAAAACCATAGAGATAGAAGGTAAGCTAATGATTGTGAAGGGCTAAGGAATGGTGAGATGAAGGAGCAGGTGTGACTGTTAGTGGGTGCTAGGGACTAAACTGTGTCCCTCTAAAATGCATATGTTGAAGTCCTGAGCCCCAATGTGACTGTATTTGGGGATGGAGCTATAAGGAGGTGATTTAGGTTAAATGAAGTCATAAAGGTAGTTAGGGGGGTGGCTCGGCGCCTGTGGCTCAAGTAGCTAAGGCACCAGCCACATACACCTAATGTGGCAGGTTCGAATCCAGCCCGGGCCCCCAAACAACAATGA